CCGATACCAGTATCGGTATCGGTGCATCCCTAATTAAATCCATAGGTTGTTAATGTGTAACTATACAAATGTAAAGTAGGAAAGTTTGTCAGTAAACTTGAATCTACACATTTCTAATGACGAGTGTTTCTATTATTGCAAGTCATCTGGGGCTAAAGCTTCAAAGTTTTTAATATAACTTACAACAATTAACTTAATGTAGCCTATTAGCCTACTGTGCAAGTTAACCACTGTTTACACATATATAAAGCACAGGCAGTCACACACTATGAAAACATTTTGTGCTTGAAATTCAACATCAAACCAGCTTTCTTATATCAAATCTACTCGTAAACACAAACGTCCACAGCCTGTCTTAGACAATCGAGATATTCAGTATTGTTCTGCGGGCCCATCAGCACTCCAGCAATTAAACCCTTCATCACAGTTTTATTATTCATCACACTTAAATCTAATTAAACATTCCCATGCACTACTCTGGGTAAAAAAAGGTTTCAGGTACTGCAAACTAACCTCAAACCGGAGACCGACGTTCCCCTTAGAGTTCCTAAAGCTTTATTATCTGATGTTTTTTGCTGCTGTTTTTATTAATTCCTTGTTTATTGTTCTTTTGTTTCGGCCTGCTCATTGTGTTCCTGTTAATGTTTTTGTTCTCCCTTGAAAAACAGATTTTAATCTCAATGAGAATGTCTGAATACATTAAAATTAAATTAAAAAAAAGAAAAAAGATAATGGCCCGATGTATTGCAGAGGGCTTTTTTTTTCTTTTAGAATAAAGTTTGCATATACTTCTTTTAAAGACGTTAAGCGAGCTGCGACCCGAGTGCCACAGAAGTCAAAGAGCCGAGAAACACCGCCAGTCCTCATCCCAACCAGTTTCTTTAAAATAAAGTGCGGCCAATAGATGAAGCTCTTTTTGCCCAAAGTTGGACAAGTGTTAAAAGTAATAGATGTAAGAAAGAAGGGGAACGTCGACACAATCTTAAGCTTCAGTTTAATAATTCAATCCTCTTGGAGGCAGCGTTTCGATCTGCAGGTTCTTCTCCAGGCGTGTATTTTCATAAACGTGGTATTAGCCTTCAAATTCATTTTAACTAAACTACATTTATTTGGTAAATATCACAAAGAACTTTGTTTTTCATCCAGTCTGAAACAAAATGATAAACCTGAATAATGTAGGACCTTTTCAATCAATGCCCGGGCTTCAAAGAGGACCCCCGTCTCTAAACAAGCAGTTTCAATTCCATATGCTGGAGGACCTGCAGCCTGTTGCAGGATTAAGTGAAATGTGAAACAGCTCAATAATGAATTGATTGACAGGGCTAATGATTCACAACTTGGGTGAGAGCTGCAACAAACAACAAAAACAATAGGGAGAGAGAGACAGGAAGGCAGTGGATGCAGCTCTCCAGGACCAGGCTTAGAGACCACTACTCTCAGCCAATGTACACACTACACTAATGCCATCATTAGGAAACAGAAGAAGTACATGGTAATGAAGCAGCTGGCGTTCTAGTTCACTTACCTTGGATCCTCGCTCATTAAAGATAATCTCCACATCTAAAATCTTTCCAAATTGCTGCAGAGAGAAAAGAAAAAGAGAAGAGCAGAGAAGAGATGGAGTTAGAAAGCCTCGCTGACTAAATTCATGAGGACGACGACCGGAGAAAGAAAAACCATTAAGGCAATATGGAAATGTTACTTTTGTGAGGAAATGGTGGTCAATTTGCATTTGTTAGCTCAGCAAACACTTCTTGAAGCTCGCTGGCGTGGTTTGAAAAGAGAACTCGTAGCTGCCGCTGCAACGCGTCTCCGCGCGTCTATCGGTACTTTACAAAATGAAATCACAGAATTCTTGATCTGTGATTACGTGGCCGTGTTTATGATGTAAGTTTGCTCGCCCGTTTCGACACAAAGAGAAGAGCGGCATCAGACGGTGTTTTGATGTCGTCTTGAGACGCGGACCCCGACACCTCCGCGATCACCTCGGGGAAACTTGCTCCTTCGAGTCTTGTGAAGAGTTTCGTTGATTATTTCTACCTTTCTCTCTGTTTATAGAGCCTCCTTCTCTTCTATTCTTTATTCTCTCATCCTCTCTTTGTTTGTGTGCTCTCGCAGTCAACAGGACCTAAGGGCCGGTCCCCAGGGGTTAACACGCTGCAGCCTTTCGATTTTAACAGGCCTGCCTTCGGATCATTAGAAAACAGAGGAATGAAAGTAAACTGTAAGTTCCTCTAATGAGTGGAGTGAGAGCGACTTTTAATTGCTGTCTACAATGGCTGTATTATTTCATTAAAAGTAATTACCCTGTCAAGCGGTCCGCGTCGCCTTCATTTCAGCACAACAGGGAAGAAATGGGCCTTTCCATGTGGTCGACACTCAATGGGAATGGATGGATCGTTTGACTGAGCCACTAATAGGGGTTAGGAGGAGCCGGCTATTATCTGGCTGGAGCGAGTGGACTCCAGGAGATGAGCGTTTATGGGTTAGCGGGAAAACGTATGTTTCCCTCATTTTTAAGAACGCAGCAAGCTCAACACACCAAGTCGCCAAGCCAAAAACAGGCTTTGTCATTTAAATCCACCTCTGTTTCCACAGGGCGTGTCCTCTCCCCT